TTGATACTCTTAATCATAATAAGTTAATAGACAGTCTTAATGATAGTGGTATTAGAGGGCCATTATTGTCATGGTGCAGAGATTACCTTAATGACAGAAAATATGCGGTAAAAGTGGGTGATGCCATTAGTTATAATGTTAACTCTTCAGTAGGCACAGCACAAGGCTCTGTAATTGGACCATTGCATTACATCACTTATGTTAATAGTCTGGCAAACATCATCAGGCGTTGCGAAATATACCAGTATGCCGACGATACGTGCCTGGTTGCAGCCGGCGAAAATATTAACGAAACTGGCCGCATTATGCAAGAAGAACTTAATATATTAACACAATGGTCTCATGAAAAAGGATTAATTATTAATGGTAGCAAGACCAAGCTAATTTATATTAGTTCTAGTCATAATAGGAGTAAAGTCATACCTAGCATTATTGTGCATGATCACCTATGCCTTCACAAAGGACAAATGACATTCAATTGTCATTGTGCAGAATTAGAACCGTCAGAAACTCAAACTTACTTAAGACTTGTAATAGATAGTCACCTAAACTGGAAACATCTTATTGAGGTTGTATGTAATGGACTTCGAAGCATGTTAGCAAAATTCTCCATAATAAAGTATAAAGTCCCCTATAGAATTCTGTTACAATTATATAAATCACTGGCCGAAACTAAAATTTCACATGGCTTGTCTAGTTATGGGCGAACTTACAAATCACATTTAGATAACATTTATTCATTGCAATTACGCATCTTGAAAACTATAGTTCCAGATAAGGTTAAAAACCCACACAGCGATTCTGATTACCAAAACCTATTCGATTACTGCAAAATTATACCGGTGCATAAAAAAGTATAATATACTCTATTAAATGAAGAATTTTTTAACAAAGATAAAAAAAATATGTCATCTCTAATTATTCCAAAACCCGCAGTTCGGCCAAACCAAAATTAGCTAAACCTAATTATAACAATTTATACGGAAAACTTACTTTAGAATACATGGTTCCAAATTTGATTAATCAGCTACCATCCTCTTTTCAAAATGAAATTAATCATAAAAATATGAAATACAAATTAAAAAAATATTATACGAACTGTCTATATCAGACTTCAAACTAAAAAAAAAAAAAACTATAATCCCCACTAACTATATTCCCTAAATAAACCTATATGACATATAAACAAAGAATAATTATTATACTCGTCTACTATTAAATATTATCTCTATTATTATCAATATAATTTTATCACCTCCTGTATACGCGACGCAGGAACGACCGGTTTTTGACGTAGCGAAGTGGACGGTGGCAAGACTCACGTCTTTTAATACACTCTTAGTTAATTATGTATTGCCGATTTACCGCCTGTTGACTGTGCCAGTTGCTGTTTAATAGTGTTGCGTTATACATATTTTGTAGATTAAAGTGTAGCTTATCTGTCAAATTTTAAGTCGGCGGCTTGTGGTACACGGTAAAGTTTTCAGTAGCTTATGTTGTACCATAATATATAATCTGTATTATCTGTAATTTGTTAAATAAATAAAAATAAAAATAAATATATACTCCTCTAGTGCTGTTTCTTCTAATTATAAAAGAAATTAAAATATTTTTTACATAGTGTTACGCCAGTAATCCTAGATGAGGTAGGCAAAGTCCTAAGAGCAGGGAGCTACTCGAATCATATTTAGCCAAATGGAATAAACAAGCAGGCAATTACCAATATGAGTTTTAATAAAAAATTACAAAAATATCGGCCAGGAGGATTTTTCTGAATTTGTTGTTAGTGTAGTGACGGTTACGAAACTTATGTAGATGTGTATCACAATAGCTTAGAAAATAACTATCTATTCTCTTGATTTGACTTATACTAAATATATTCGGACGGTAATACTGATGCTTGCAAATCATTCTCCTATACATTGGTGAATGATTATGATGAACTAATGGTGATAAACGACCACATAGTCAACCTGATAATGGTAGATACTGTAGTCCATATACACCTATATTTAATATGAATTAACAATCAAAATGCAGATAAGTTGTTTGAACTGACTAATAAAACGGAATCTTTATCGGTAACAAGGCTCTTGTCATTTAAACTCACTATACGACGACGCTGGTAATCTGTGATATCGTGGTCCTTATCCACCCAATTGCATTATATAGAAGGGTAGATTTATTTATGTTTTGACCCGGTAGGTGGTTCTCTTTATGAGATCCAGAAATCACCCCTGCGAAACCGGGGCGGATTGCTAGTACAAATGCGTATTAACAGCAAAACAATCACCATCAACATCATAATATACGTATAATATAGATAGGAGATATAATTGAATCCTAGAGACGTTGAATTCAATTATCTTAACACGGCCAACTCCTTTATAAAATAAATCTCTTTAGCTTTATAAAACTGCTATTAAGCAGCTGTTTCAGCAAAAATTAGATTTCTTGTTTTTTATTATACCTCTCGTAACTTCTTAAAGTTACGCTCGATTTGCTAAAAAGCAATAGAACAAAATTGGAATATCACATAATATTTATGCGTACGGTATTTTATTTTAATTTTTTTCATTTGTTTCCTTTATCTAAACAATTTTTTACGGAATTTAATGTGAGACTATAAGTTATTTATTTATTTACTCTTTATTGTACACAAAAAATAGAAAATCGAGTAGAGTTCAATAAAGTATATCTACAACAGGCGGTCTTATCACTATGAAAGTGATCTCTCTAGATCACCTTTGCGTAGAGGACTGATGCAAACAATAGTTAAAATAAAGGGGGATTTACAAAAACAATGATGAAAATACATATAAATATATACAAGTCCAAATGTCTTAAAAACTGAAAAAGTCGTTATCAATGATGAAGGTTCCTCCGGATCGTTAGTATCATTGGATGTTGCTCAGGGCGAAATTCTTGTCCTTAATTACCCGCGACGAAACGGAGAAGATGTATGCGTTTAGGGTGAGAGGTTGTTTGTTTGTTTGTTTGTTTGTGCAAACGAATGTTACAATTTATATCCAAAACGGTTTGACGGATTGAGATACGGTTTTCTGTAAAAGGTTTTTGATTCATTGGCAATGGTTTTTAGATGTGTTTTATGGTGTTAGCTCACCAGGGGACGCTGCAATAAGCAAATTTGTGCAAACGAATGTTGTCATTTATCTCCAAAATGGTTTGATTCATATAGGTGGTATGGTGTTAACTGACCAGGGAGTGCTACAATAAACGTTTTCGCTCATTTTGACGAATTTTTCTCCGAGTCGGCTTGACCGATTTAGATACGGTTATTGATATCACATAGCATATTTAGGTTATTAGAGTAATCACTATGTTAATGGTACAATAACAGATTTAGTTCAAAGACAACTTTGTGGTTTTTCTTCGGCTTCTTCAATTTGTGACCCGCGCAACATGCTTCTCAATCGGTCTAGCACTTCCAATCCTTTGCTATTATGTGAATTTTTGAACAGTTTTCTTTGATTCGATCGACTATAGTGCCTCTGTCTCTTCTATTTATGCACTATAACGGGACAAATTAATATGAGTGGAACAATTACCCTTTCTATTTATTCAGTACCTTGGTTGCCTTAAAATGATATACTCATTGGAGTTATACTTACCAACCATATTATAACCCATCATTGTAACTTCTGCCGATAAAACGCAGGTGAATAGCAGCAGGTGGAGGTTTCTGTCCATAGTTTTTGCGTTCCCTGGACTCATCTGTTGCATTACTAACGTACAATTTCGTTGTTAGTTTGATTAACATAATTAACATTATCTGATTGAATGCGCTAACGAGTTGTAAGTTGGGATATATACGAACAGCTTCCCCATTGGAACAGAGGTGGAGGTCTCAACAGAAGTAGCTGATACTGTTCCATGCTAGCTCTTCCACTTGTAAATTGTTGAGTACATAGAAAGTAATACAAATGTTTAGTCAGTAACGCAGGGATTCTCTAAAAAGTAGAAAATGAAAAAATAAAAAAAAATTGAAATACCCACGACGAATGCAAAAGTTTTATTTGAAAAAGGATTAAATAAAAAATTTAAAACTCCGTGACTAAGAGGAAGTAAGAACAAAATAAAAGCGTTTTAAAAAGGATTGATTTCTCGCGAGGTGTGTCACAATAAACAACTAATTATGACTTTCCTTAGTTTTTCCCACCTTTGTGTACCTTTTTGTTTGTCGTAGCTATAAAAACAGCAATAACATCAAGTAAAGATATAACAAAATCAAGTAAATCTGTCGGGGCTGCCATTGCCATGTTAGCGATTTCAATATAGAAAAACTTAGAGATGTACCAATTTATATCAATCAAAGATTACATTTATTTACTTACCCAACGTAATTTCAAAAAACTTGAAAAAATGAAAATCTTACTTCATTTAGCGCATAGAATGGCAGCCCCGACGGAAACTAGTATTTTGGCTTCAGATGACCAAATAAGTTTGTTTTATGTTATTTTAGGTTATTGTCTGGTGGTATATATGTACCTCTGGTTTGCAATGGAAATGGAAATAAACAATTATTACAATTATTTTTAGTTTGGCGTGAATGGCGCGAATAATGGTTAACAAAAAAAACATTCTTCCAGTAAGCAATTTTGGAAGCGTGTGCCCGCTGTACTGCCATATATCGGAGGTAAGGCTGACAAGATTGGCTACATCTTAACACGTGCTTCCATAACACATACTTTAAACCGCCGAACACGATAACTCAGTTTTTACCACCAGTCAAGTGTAGGACTCTGCAACATGCAGAAGTGTACGAGATTGATTGTGAATGTGGAGTCTTTTACAACTAACACATAGCTGATGTAAAGAATCGACGCTCTGGGAAGTATGCAGGCTGTGAACACATATAGGATTGCCCCCGTCACTATATTAGCTTTGATATACCACAAATTCTCCCTAAATAACATCGATTCCTTCCAATGATAATTCGCGAGGCTATTATAATAAAAAAAACATTCTAATTTCAATACGGAAGATGGCTGGGTAGATGGTAAACTACTTGGGATCCTATAATTAATAAAATTAAAGCCCAACGCAAGCATACAACTGCAAGACAAAAAGATACTTTAAGTTCATAGTGTATAGAAGGGATCAAAAATTAATAATTTTAATCTGAAGGAAGCCGTGTTTAGATATGACATTCGGACGTTAAACACCCCAGTCCTTGCCGTGACCATGAGTGCTGCAAAGTACTCGAAACTTAGAGAATATACTTTTTTTATAGAATAATGATGACAAACGGGCTCGTAGTCTACCTAATGATAAGTTGATGCTGTCCCCCCCGAATGAGTTCCCGCCTTGTCATGGCGCGGTAGGAGCGGGGGGGGGGGTCTTATTAGCCGTGGCTTGGTCACCCGCGGTAAAAAAAGAGGAATACACATGTCTGGCAGAGATGCGGCGAGAAGGGTGTCCTCTCTCCCTACATCTTGCAGCCGAAGTGGAGTCGCGGAGGAAGAGGAGTGTTGGTATGGCGATTCGCCACTCGTCTTATCCTCCGTAACTTTGAGGAGGCCGCACCGTTGATGCGGTGGTGGCGGAGTTGCGGGGAAAGAGGAGTGTCGGTATTGCTAAGCGCCGCACTCCCTACCATCCGCAGCCGAATTTCGGTTGGTGGCTGAGCCATAGACTAGATCCACCGCTGGGGTCAGGAAGGCTAGTGCTTCTGAGTACTCGATTTCTCCTGGCCCCATGGCCTTCGCGCATCGGACACGGGCGTTTCCGTTTCGCAGGTGTAGTTGGAGGTCGTGGAGAAAGGCGCGGCAAGTGTTCTGGTGCGCCTTACCTGAGAAGAAAATGGTGAGAATAGTCTTCTCCCGAGGAGTAGCCGCAATGGGGCGGCCAGAGCTAGTGGGAAATGCGCGGAAATGTACGAAAGTATTCCTGTGGTCCTACCAATATGCGACGAAGATGGAAAACCATAGGGTTTTAGTTGGTGCGAGTCCGATATAACCCGTTCATGCCTTCGCGATGCGGGTATGCATAGTCATTTCCCCATGTTAAAAAAAGTAGATGCTGTAGCCCATAGACGTCTGCATCTATTTTTGATTAAGAATCAAAATACAGAGATGTTGTCACCTCAGAGGACTAAGCTAGAATGCCTCGCTTCCAGTAAAAAGGGTCTCCGGTTCTCTACACTCACCATACGAAGCACAGCAGCATTGAGCTGCTATTTTACTCTGGAATTCTGTGAAAGCGTGGTCATTCCTGGTCGAACCGACCCATTCATGCTACAACGATAGTAATCTGCAGCAAAAGCATAATTTAACATACGCAATAAAATCTGTAAAAAAAAAGTGTTATTAATATTTATGAAACTAAACGATATGAAGTTAATTAGTGTCTTCTTTGTCGGATCAAGGAATTGTTAAATTTAGAACTACTTTGTATGCAACAGTGGCGAGGTTCGCTAAATCTTCAGCCCCGGCGCTCATTACGAAAGCTAGTGAGCACGTATCGCGTTGTTAATGTTAAGTTATGATTCCGAACTCTAACGCGGCAGTGCTGCCGCAACACTACTAGTCTCCATATATTTTCTATAGGTTTATATGAGATTACATTCCGTGTGCGGCAGCAATATATGGAAAGTTATTATATCGAAAGAGATCAATAAAGCAAGTTATTTATCTTCCAAGAATATAAATAAATATAACGTCACTCTGTCTTACACCTCTCTGCAGTTGGATAGTTTTCGTACTCTGGTTCTGGACTGAGATAGCTATCGTCGCCTTAATGTAGAAACACTTCAGCACTTCGATATACCGACAGTCAAATTCTCACCGCTGAAGGAACTGCAGCACCACTCAAATATCGACGAAATCAAAGTCTTTCTCATAGTCCACATACGCAAGACAAAGTGGCAGATTGTACTCTTCGGACTTCTGTACAATTTGTCTAAGGGTATATATGTAGTCTATGGTGCTAAAGCCTTTTCGGAAACCGACTTGTTCGGGAGGCTGGAAGCCGGTTGCAGACTGCAACTTCATTACCCATCTAACAGCGATGAGATTAAGAGAGTAATCGGAGAGTTTTTGTGTTCTTCTGTGGTGGGTCTTGCAAAACATAGCTCCGACCGCATAGACAGTTTCCACGAGCTTGTCATTCATATCGTCCACTGCATTGCAACCTCCAAGGCCTTGAAGACGGTTTTGTGACTCGAGCTGAAAGGTTTTGGGGACTTTAGATTAGATCACGAGAGGGACGGAGCGTTGACTTCATTACATAACACCTCTTCAACCTAACGTTTAGTTTCATTATGCCTCTAACCATTCGGTGATCGCTATAAGTTTTCATCCTCGCGATTACTGACTCTAGTCGTCATAATGAAGTCAATATCATTTTTGTCGAACCATGGGGGCTTAAACAGGTACACTTCCTGTGGTGCCGCTTCTGGAAGAAAGAGTTCATTATAAAGAGTTCCTCTATCTCCATGAAGTCGGCCAGCTGCTGGTCCATTGGGTTCCGTTGCCCTATTCCAAATTTGCCTACCCTTAGGTCGCCGTTCTCTCTTGTGCCTAGTTTTGCGTTGAAGTCTGCCATTAACACCGTATAGTGGGTTTTGGAAGAATGCATGGCTTATCCTTATACATTTCCTTCACCTCTTAATCGGGATGTGCCGAGGTTGGTGCGTAAACCTGTATGACCTTTAACGAATACCCTTGTCGACACATTTACAATCTTTACTACGTTGTTAACGAGAGACTTGTGGACGATAAATCCGGCACCTCCTTGGGACGGATCGTCACTCTCCCGGTGATAGATCAAGTTGCCAGATTCGAGGATTACCATGTCCTCCCCCTCTCTTCGGACCTCAGGCAATCCTATTATATCCCAGAGCAACTTTTTTATTTTTCTTTCTGCTCCAGGATCTACTCGTCAGTCCTCAGGGTGCGTGCGTTGTACGTTGCCAGGTCGAGTTGCATTTATGACAGTTACAGTAAATGTTTTAGGTAAATACGAAATTTTTTTATAATTTGTATTATTATCTAAAATAAAATTCAAATTACGTTTACAAAGTGCGTAGATATTTTATTACGTGGTAGAGCCATGCTGCAGCTATATTAGTAGTATAGTTGTAGCATGAATGGGTCGGCTCGATCGGAGAAGGACCACGCTCTCACAGAAAACCAGCGTAAAATAGCAGCTTAACGCTGCTGTGTTTCGTATGGTGAGTGTAGAGAACCGGAGACCCTTTATACTAGCAAAGAGGCATTCCATCTTAGTCCTCACGGGCGACAAGTTTGAGTCTTTATTGAGGATAGATGTAGATGTCTATGGGTAACCACTTACCATCAGGTGGGCTGTGTGCTCGTTTGTCAACCTATTCTATAAAAAAAATAATGACAGCGATTTCTTGGTCACATTAAACAAAATCAGTGTTTATTGTCGAAAATAACGTTTACGGTTTACTAAACAAATAACTAGTCATCTCACCCGCTCGCAGTCGACTAAAGCAGTTATGGAGAATTGACAATAACTCAGTGCGTAATATAGTATACTTAGAAGTGTTAGCTCAGAATGCGCTTTACATAAAATGGAAGTAAAAAAATATTTTCTGCGCAAGATATGTATAATGTACTACTTTCACAAAGAGCTGACGGAAAATTGCCTCCTGATCTGCGGGGATGTAGTTGGATACGTGTACGTGCTGCAGTTAACTCCAGTACTGCGGGCATTTCCACAACTAGCCCAAAAAGGAAATGTCAACTTGGTCTAATACGAATTAAAGCCGCTATACCCATAGCTATACATTACGATGCATAATTATTAAGAAACTCAATATTTGGCACGAAAATTATTTGGTCCTAAAACGATTACGAAAATACGTTTGAAATACCTACGTCAATTCGTTTTAAAATTTCCGGGACTGTGGTTTCAATAATTTTAATACAAACACGAGAATGAAACTCAGTCCAAAAATTCTATTAATAAAGTCCACTTCCATTAGGGACAAAAAGGATTAAGGATCAAAGAGTTGCTTGCTAAATATTCATAAAGAGATCTTATTTCAGCCGTCACATATATTAACGTACCTCCATATAAATTGGGGTGTTTAAAAATTTGTTAGGGAATAAAGAAATAATTTATGCGTAAAGTACCTAATAGATTTGTTTATTTATTTTATTTAAAACTTTTATTTTGTTTTACTTAATGAGACAAAGGGCGGACTTCTCTGCCAGTCAACCTATTGTGTAGTACTTATATATATTTTGTGAATAGAATAAAATACTTTTATCCAATATAGATCTATATTGGGTTAAAATATTTAAAAAGAATACATAATAAAAAGTTATTTAAGCTTTACCACTGTTTAATATAATATAATATGTATTAAAGGTACTAAGTTCATAGGTATGAATGAATAAGGTTATTTATGTTACTGGACATAAGTAAAGAGATCATCTCTCCTGCAGTGTTAGGTGCCTTAATGGTAGCGGTATGTATTTTTGGTTAATCTTTTGTAATGTGATCAAAATAATGTAAGCAAAAAAAGAATGGTCACATGGGTGTGTAAAATTTAACATGCTCCCATGGACATGTAAAATTCACCTTATGCGGCACTCCTCGCTCAGCGTATGAACTGTATGTTTTCCCTTTTCTCTGAAAATATACCTTGTACTGTCTTACTTAAAACATTTCTTTGATTTTAAACTCCTAAAAATGAAAAGCATACCTCATGGCGACCCTGCCAGGCGGTGCGCTGAGAAAATGAAAGCGCAACGTCGCGGCCTGAAAAAATTATTGAAAAACATATTGGAGAAATAACATAATTCACTTACCGAATTCACACAATTCCGGATATGACATTCAAATTATGAAATTCACTGAATTCAAGAAAACTATAATATGACAAATACGAGAAGAAGCTACAATAAGAAGACAACTAACAAAGAACGAAAATAAAATTTTGAGGAAAAATAGATTGAAAATAACAAAGGCATCCATTTACGAAGAATAGAAGAAATGGTAGTTCAGCGAGCGGAGCCAGCAACCAGCAGCAGTGTATCCGAGAAGATTGAGTCCAAATAATACACAAGAAAACTAG